TTTTTCTTTCAAAATCTTCAGTTCTTTGCAATGCACTGTATATTGAGCTGTCAAGAAGAAACAGTTTCCACTCTGCCTGCAAAAGCTTTCCTGAGGGCAGAATAATGGATTTAGTGTGAAAAAGTAGGATCTTAAGATTAGAGAATTTGAAAGATATCCAATGTTCTAAGTTTTAATGGTGTTGCTTATTCGAGTCTGCCCCTACTACCGTGTCAATGTCAGGATTACAGTAATCTACAATAAAGCACAATGTGGCACATACATCAGTCATATTAAAAGTCACTTGCTATTCAGTTACTCTTTGATCAATTTAAAACAATTTAATTTAATCTGGTGCCAGAAAATTGCAGTGTTTTCATCTGCAAAGACACAACTCAGATGCACCTGACTCCTTTAGAAGTAACTGTTCTTGAAAATAAATCCTTGGATAACTCACACCCTGAAACAACTCAAGCCCTCAAACCAGTGCGAGAAGGAAGAGGAGGAAAAAGGAAGTAGAAAGTGCTGCATCAGCAGAAATTCCACAATAAATTTATCCTTTTATTATCTACAGAGCCATTATAGTCTTAACTGCTGTTGACTCAGAAGGGATGAGAGGGTCTTCTTTGGAGGAAAAAGAAGTGTTGCTTGCTTATTACTTCTTTAAAAACTCCCATTCGAACAGACACAATGCCTCAAAAGCTGTTCACATGCTTTCCCCCTTAAGTCACATACAGTTTTGGCGATGCCGTTTACTCACAGTATGTAGCTATCCTTCCAACATCTATTAGAAAATGCAATTATCACACTGCATTACACTGCCTGTCACTAATGATAAGCATCAACTACGCTACAAAAGCAAGTAAAATCCCTTACACCCACTAAATTCAAAGCCAGACTATACTTAGCTCCCCTACACCTCTCTAGCATGAGTTTTTTCCTAGAAAGTCAACACCCAAAATGGGATGAGGGAAGAGAGAGAAGGACCACAGGGCATGGAAAGCACTGCTAGGTCAAGACCTCAGGGTAGTTCACCAGTCCCCAAACAAGAGGATTGGGATTCTCCAGGCATTGCACTTCTCCCACCTTTTGCTGCCTTCAACCAGCACACGTATGGATGTAACATGGGAGGATGTAACATAAGCACTCCTTAGACCACTCTCCTTGGACCAAACCTTCCAAAGCAAGGTTGAAAAATAATGATACAGCTGTGCTGAAGCATCATTAAGAACGTTTCTGATAGCACCCTGTCATGCATGTCCCAGCAGGTGAAGGAGAGAGGAGATGCTCCACAAAGAGTTTTGGCAACAAATGCCACCACAAGTCAAAAGTATGTGAAAAAGGAAGAACACGTGAAAATTTTTCTCCTGACATGCTAGATGCTGCTTCTCCTACTTTCTCTCATGCTTGCCTGCAATCTGGTGATCAGTCCTGGCCATCAACAAATCCTCAGCCAGTCTGCTGTGCACTATTTGCATGTGCTGGGATAAATCCAGGGCATACCAACAGCTTGGAGCAATACAGCCTTTGCTGCATGCTCTGGGTCAACCGCTGACTCCAAAGGGCTCTGGAAGTAGGGCATCCTGCTCTTGGCAGTTCTGTTTAACAACTGCCAGCAGCAAGCAGCATCGGTCCTCATGGACCAGGTCTGTACACTCAAAGCAGTGGCACACGTCAGCTCAAGGAGGAACAAAATTGGTCTCCTCTTGTTGCAGCCTCTTAGAAGCAGACCAAGGCTGTGGGAGAGCCTCCTGAAAGGTCCTCTCACTGATGCTGGCTGCAAGCAATGCTGCAAAGGGGGCAGGGAAAAGAAGAATATTTGTCTCCTGTATGACCCAATTAATTGCTTAGGTGTTTAACAAAACGTAATATGCCAAATCTTCATAGACAGTTGGTGACAAATGCCAGACTGTAATGATACCTCTTATAATATCATAAAGAACCACCTAGAAAGCTGCCTGAATTATTTGGGAGAGGGACTCAGATTTGATAAGTGGCTAAAAATTAGTTTAATGATTCCCTATTTAGCCTTTAAATCTACTCATAATGTGACATTGTGTTTCTAATTAGAGACTGAAAATGTTGATTTAACATTTCTGTCATTACAGATGAGACATCATATGCTATCTCTGTATTATTAAACACTTCCTATTTTGAGTATAAAAAGGAATTTGTAGAGTTGGGCACAGGGTTTAAGTTTCTATAATGAGCCATTCATCTTCAGGTCAGGTTTCATAATAACTAACTGCTACAAGTTAGTTAAGTGTGAGGAAAATGAAAAGGAAAAAAATGGAAATGCGAATAACCACGGAAATTCTAAGTGTCGCATCTGTACAGTCTGAAGCATAATGGTATTTAAAGTGCCCAAACTGTTTGTGACACCTCTTTTCCACCGCTGCCGTCACAACTTCTTTGAATGCTCCATGCACACCGTGGGCAGTCAGCAAACACCTCCTGCCAGGGCATCTGACGTGACAATCAAGGCTCAGCATTTTTTCCTTAAGAGCAGAAAATCTCAGGGCCACACTCCATGGAAGGCAGTGGGGGAGGCAGCACATTCCGGGTAACAGGTCTATGATAGTATTTACTGACTGTCTCTTTCCCTGCTTGTGATCACCTAACAGGTCTGCTGCTAGATAGTTTTCGCACGGAAAAACATTACCAGGAAAGCAGGCAACATTACTTTTCCCTTGTCCTGCATGCACCTTGACCAGCTGCAGCCATCTCACAGCTAATCAGTTCCCATGGTTGGTTCAAAACTACAAAATTAGGGGCCATCCTAACCCCGGGCGATCCAGCCCAGGGCTTGGTGACTGGGGTAGCTCATCTGCAAAGCGCTTCCTTTGGTCTCAGCAGCGTGGCATTAGGGAAAGAAAAACACCTCCAGTGTGCCTTAAGATTTACAAGGACTTTTCAGTCTGAATGGCTACTATCAATCATCTCTGCATTCCCAGCAGGAAATTAGATTTCCAGTTGTTCAATGCTACAGTGCTTGACATAACTCTATGAATTTGTAGTTCCAGTAGGGCTACATTAAAATCCATACTGTGGACAAAGAGGGGAAGAAATACATGTTTTCATCAAGTGGAGCCGAGAGAACATCTTTTCAGACGCTACCTCTCTGCTTTTGACTGATTTTTAATTCAAAATTGTGTTTTAATCAGCAAAGCAAGTGTATGAAAGGACAAGGACAGTACCTCAGGGGGCAAAACATTCTTTCTTCCTTCTCCTGTACAGAGATTTATTCTTATATTCATGTCAGTCTTGTCTACAGGAAGGACAATTTATACCTCTGTCATAGGCTGGCAACCAGGCTCATCATTCATACCTTTAGAGCACTAAAAATCTTCAGAGCTGCTTGTTTAAGCAATAAATTTGAGACATCTCGTTCCTGATGTTTGTTTCGTTTCTTCTGAGCTTATTGCTGGTTTTTTCCCCGCTTTTAACGTTTCTTTCCCTCACTGGGATAAAGCAGCGACCCCTTTTCTCAGTCAGAAGAGCCCCTCAGCTACTTCATGGAGCAGAGACAGAGATTCCCCAGGAGGCTGGGCAAATCAGTGACAAATCCCTGCAAGGCTCAGCCACCTTCCCACACTGGTGTCTGCCACAGCAGCAGCTGGGAAGACCCTGTGCCAAGCTTTACAAGTGGTTTTATTATGCTTTTCCTCCATCCTCATCTTCCAACCAGATTCCTCCTGCATGAAAGGCCCATTAGAGCCAAAAGAAAAACTACCACTTACATTAGATTAAGCACCCAGGCATCATCTGACTGTGCTTTGGGAACTAAGCTGGTAGTACAGAAAGTAGAGAGTGCAAGTTAGGGAACTGTATCTCCTGGCTGGAGAAGACACTGTGAGGAGGGGACTCCAGGTGAGTAACAGTTAGAGAGGTCCCAGATGCCACCACGTGGTGTTCTCATGTCCCCAGGGAAAGGTCAGTGCTCAGGAGCTCTGGAAAGCAACCACTCATAGCACTCATCACACCTGCAGCTGCAGCACACTCAAGCCTTTCTAAAACTTCAGTGGAAATGGGGTAAGTCTTACACAACACGCAGCATTACAATCAGTCTTTTGACTGTTCCTAGTGCATCTCTTGTGAAAGGGCACCAGTTGCCTCATAATTTGTGTGAGGCAAAGAGTGAATATTTTATTCAAGCTACATCAGACAGGTGGCTCTGAAGATGGTCAGTCACAGACAGCTACCTCCTTTTCACTATCTAAACTTGATGGAAATTTTCATACTCCTAGAATACCCGGAGTTGCCCCTGCTTGCCAAGAAAACCATCCCAGTCTGGTAAGCACCAGTTGAACATTCATTGATTTGGACAATGACTTTGGTCACTCGGGCAGTGTTAGGGTGAGTCCAAGAAGCACCATAAGAAAGCAGTTTGTACAGAGTAGAATAATAGCCAATTAAAAAAAAAAAAAATCCCTGCCCTGAACAAAGATGTGGAGACATACTCCATTGTCAGAACAACTTCTCCATAACTTCACTGCCAGTCAATTCCTGTGCCTGCCAAGCTCCTTCAACACACGGAAAAGATAGGCATGCCTCATCTAAATTTTGTGTTCCACCTGAAGTGAAATCAGAGCTGAGTGTTGCTTCCTAAGCCTAAGTCCATGAGATTTGACATTTCTAGTCTAGGTCTAGTCCTTCTGCAGAGCAAGATGGATACAGGTCTGAGGAAAGACGGGAAGATGAGCAATCACCTGCTGCTGACCTACACCTGCAACCACAGCCTGTTCTCTCCCATATACCACAGGACAAGCTGGCAAACTGGGTACAGACAAGTCTTGAAAACACAGCATCTACTTGTTCTTGCACGCTGGTACCAAAGATCTGACTATCTCATGCAGGACTCTTTTCAGGGGTGCTTGGTGGCACTAAGTATGAAGATGGATATTCATGTTATCAAGTAAGAAAGCGTTCTTTCTTATAAACAAAATGGCTCACACATGACTTAATTCCTGCAGGGCAGAGCTGCCTTCCATGCAGGCTTAGCAACTGAAGGCTGTACTCACCTCAACAAAAATGAAGCAGGGGATGATGGAGTAACTTCTCTGGGTATTGTTTCCTAAAGCCATTTCTCATCACACTTCTTGGGGAGGCACTGTTCAAAACGTTACTATCCTAAAAAATAAAAGGAAAAATGTAAGTCAGTATGTTTCCCTTCTTTTGGCAAACTCCACATTTAACACAACGAGGTTTGTAACATTGAGCACTGACATATTGGACCAGGGAAATAGACTAAAATGAACACCAAGGTCTCACTTACAGTCATAAAAAATACCCTATTAAGGCACTCCCTTTGCAGCTCAAAAGCAAGAGACAGAAACAGGTTACAAGATACATCATCTATAGAGCAAAGAGCTATAAGGAATGCAACTGTTTTCCTAAATTACACTCCACTCCCAAGCAAAGGCTTCTTCCCCAGGATTGTAAAATCACATTTTTAACCCACTGTTCTGCCTACAGTGGCTTGTTAAATCAAGGGGTCTTGGAAATGGGATGGTGAACTTGTATTTTAAAAGAACACGCTTAGGAGTACATTAATTGTACACATGATCAAAACGTTTATCCGCATGAAGTGTGACCTGCTCAAGATGATAGCATGTCTTACACACCAAAAAAACCCTAACAAGCAAGTGCAACAAAAATGCGATGAAGGGCTGGGCCCTTGTTGCAGAGCCCTTCTAGCCTGCAATAAATCCCTACATTAACCCACAAAACTCTACCTACTTAGCATTACTTTGGGCTACTGGCTATTCTAATTAACATAAGGTTATAGCGCGCTCACTTAATCTCTTTGCAGCACAAAAAGAAGGAAAGGAGGGAAGATTAACATGGAGAATTTGTACTGGGAGTGCATGTGCTTTTCTGTATGCATGAGGTAACACATCAAGAAGCGAAGTCTGGCTTAGATGATTTTAGAGAGAGGAAGAGGCTAGCAAGGACAAAGGGGCTGGGAAAGCAGCACGTAGCGCAGAGCTGCCAGGAGGAGGGTGAGACACAGAAAAGAACAAAAATCCTTCGCTATCAGTTTTAACATGAACACACCAAGCAAGAGCAGAGATTTAGGAACCTCACTTCCAGCCCTGACACAGAAACCTCTGCCCTGACCACGAGCATCTCCGCCGGACAGGGCTGGGGGGAGGAAGGCGGTGAAAGCTGCTGTATTTTCCAGAGGATGCTTTTCACAACATCTTCCCCTGGATCTTTGACCTCACTGGCATCTGGGTGGCAATTCAGGCCTTGGCATATGGAGCCTGTGGGGTTCACCATGGGGTCAGTGCTTTCTCACCAGCTCTCAGCAGGGTTACTGGGAGAAATACTATTATCAGAGAACCGGGTTCAGCAGAGGTTACCAAGCCCGATTGAGGAGCTGGATCAGCTGCTAGAGCTTGCCACCTGCACCGTGATGCAGGCTCCTGTCTTGCCACCCATGAACTTCTAATTACTTCATGTACTTATTATCTCAGCTCTTCACAATTTGACCTGAGAGCTGTAAAACACACAACATATACATGACGGTTTTGGTAATACTGTCCTAGGCACAGCACAGCTATAGAGACTCCGACAGTGATCCTGTGTCAGAATGGTTTCAGAACTATTAGGCACTGAAAAATGCTATTCCAGGTCAAATAAAATATTCAGGAAATGTTACCTGTGACACACTTCAGACACTCCCATCCTACACTGCATCCCAGTTCTGAAAACACAAATGTTCTGGATTTTCAAAATGCCTGGTTTTCCAAACATGCTTCAACTTCACTTAGGAGATAAAATGGGTTTTACCTTAGAGATTAGTGTCATTGTTATAAAGGAAAAAAACCAAAAAGACAAGGTAATCCAACCCCATTTGGGCTGTGGAAAAAATTTCCAGTAATTCCGTTTTTAACAACATTTTTCATGCCCCTGGCTCCTGCGCCATGTGTCCCTCCCTTTAACTTGCCAAACACATGGTGCCTGGTAGAATAGTAGGTTAAAGAGTTAGAGCAGCTTACAGAGCATTATACCACTAAACTCCTTTTGTATCCTAGAGATACACTGTCAGCACCTTTTTTTGCAAATCCTGTTTTTCAAATGGCTTAGGGCAAAGATGTTAATACCTCAGCACCTTCGTGAAAGCTTTCCCAGATCAAGCTGAGAAACAAACAAGGTTTTCCATAACACTGCCCTGTACCTTCGAGCCATGCCTTCAGTTCCAACAGCTGAGGCTGCTGTCTGTTCTAACCAAAGCAGAGGGCTGCAAGGCAACCCAAGAATGTGAGGAACGTTGACTGAACAAGAAACAATGACTGAAAGCACAGGCTAGCAGAGGGTTCTTAGTACTCACATAGAATTGCCTAATTTAATGCTAGAGGACTCCTGATGCTATAAATATGTATCGCTATCTCTGTTCTTTTAGGCTTATTGTGTACCACTGGTTTAAAAAACTGTATTGCCTATGGGAGAGCATTTTACATGTCAGCCTCTCTCCTGTGTGATGACACATTTGTGTCAGACATAAATAGTCAGAGACCAAACAGTTGCCTGATCAGGCCAGCTAATTCCCAGGTTGTGGGAAAACTCCCAGCTAGCCCGTGCTTGTCATAGCAGGTCTTTTCATCAGCTCACTCGACAGAAGAGGAAAGGGGAGGAACAGTGTGATCTTGGTGGGAGAACCATCTTTTGTCTCTCTCCAGCTGGCAGTGAGTCCTCTAGGGACACAGACAGCAAAACAGAGATTACAGCAATCCCTAGATGCTTCAGTCCGCAGAGCAGTCAGAGATAACCCACTTTTGCCCAAAGAACCGGGGAATCGTAATAAAATGTAAAACAAGTGTTTAGTGACAGTCCTGTTTATGATCCATGAAGATCTCTTCGCATTGAGCAAATTTGCATAGTGCAAAGCCTCTGACCAAAGCAACGGGAAATAACAGCTACAATATCAGCATCTGGTGCTGCCTTCTGCATTTTTCATTTTTTTTTTCAATTTGACCCAATTGTTAAGGAAATAATGTTAGCAAAACTAGGAGAGGCTTTTTAGATCCCGCTAGCTGTGACCTTTTAAGTCCTGCTATGTGAGCATTGCAAGACAGTGGAATTGGCCAAACCTCTTCTAACTAATTAGGGACCACTGTAGAGGGAATATTGATAATCTGGAGCTCTTGTACGATGAGGTGTTTCTATGCTTTAAACAATATATATAATTGTATAACACAACATTTGTGAATTAATTATCATTAGTTAGTTCTCATCTTGCTCAATTTACCCCACACGCATTTTCAGAAAGGCCCTGAACTACAGCATAGGAGGTTATTGTCTGACATCTCCTGGGAGAACAAGCGAAGTCATAGAATATACATAATGAATTGAAAATTAACTGAAAGGGACAGCAAAGAAAAAAAGAATTCAAGCTGAAGAGATTTTCTTGCCGCAGGGATCCATCCAGGGGAAAAAAGAGGAATGAGAGTCAAAGAATGGAGGAAAGAAGAATGCTCTAAAAATAGGTATTTTCTTACAGGTTACTAACCAGCAGAAGAATTTATAAAAGCCCCATTCAGGTATGCTCTAAAGCTTTTTATGTGAGCACGTAGCAGACAGCAAAAAGGACATATCTAGGACAAATGAGCGTTTGCTGAGCCTCTATAGCACAGCTCCTGCAGCAGCCACAGTGCAGCTATCATTGTTCTGTGTTATCAGCGCTCAAACCAATTAATTCCTTGACCATTCCTCAGGAGACAGCGGTCACCCTCATGTTTTTCATACTCTGTCCTGCATAGGCGGGACGAGAAGATGAACAACCTTATGCCTTCACTTATTGCTGCAGCGGATAACTGGGCACTTGTGGAAAATACTAAAATCAGCAATCCAGAAAAGCTAACGGGCACCGTTTATCACAGGTTTTACACCCGTATTCCATTTAAACAATACCGGTGCAGGTTTGTTTTGCCATTAGCTCGGAGAGTGCCAGCCTGAAACGCAGGAACGGCGGCTGGCACATCCCTCCATGGCAGAATCCCAGACCTGCTGACACCAGAGGTGATCGATTGGTACCAGGATGTGATGCAAGCACAAAAAAAAAAAGGCTTGTTCCATCCCTCTTTACCTAGACCATCTTTTCAGCAGCAGCTAGCGTTCTGTTTCAAAATAAAATGTAAATGTTGTATTAGGAGGAGCACAACTGTGGTGTTTCTGTAACAATGTTAAAGACACTTAAAATGCAAGTGTTCACTCATTTGTAAATTGGTTTAACCTTGCATTAACAATCTGCAACCCTCTGTTGGCAATAGGCTTCAAATTAAAAGACCTTCTTTCTCATTAAAATAAGAATTCTGTTTACCAGTAAGAAAAAATAAATCACTAAAACTTCTGCACCAGTCCATCAAGGATCAATTTGCCAAACCTCCATTCAGTTAAGAAAACAAATTCAAACTAATGCCACTGCTGAAGATTATTATCCAAGCTTTTGCAGAGAACTGTATCATTATAACCATTATTTACTACACGAGCTCTTACAGATCTCATTCTAAAGCACAGTCCTCTATTTCCTGTGGGGGAAACAAAGACAGAAAGAGTTGAAGCAATTTGCCAGACATCACACAATGACTCAATGTCTAGGCTGAAGAAAGAGGTATTATTCTCAGACTCCTGTCAAGTGCTCTATCCACTCGACTATACACTCTGCACTTGAAATGTACTTGCTAATTCCCACACAACAACTATGCAGCTCTCACTGTACATTTAAGTAATAGAGGTTTCTCTTAGTGTGCCACGGAGACCACGACAGAACGCACACCACAACTCTGCAGAAGCACCGATCAAACATACACCAAGACGTGACCAAGCCTCGTGTCCTCTCTGCACAACTTCACCCCTGGCCACGTCCAAAGGGGAACCAGGGAACCTGCATGTGAGTTTGAACTGGCTGCAACGGGAAAACAGAGGGCTAAAATGTCCTTCCCAAAGCTCTTTTCCATATAAACCTAACCAATAGATACAAAAGGGCCCAAGGAATAAAGGTAAGATTTTTCCCGCAAAAGGCAATCATGGCTATTTAATGTTTTCCTGGCTAAATTACAGACACTTTCAAAGTAATCAGAAACACTGACTAACGGCATGAATCATTCCAAAATCCAAATTGTGTG